TGGGGATGTAAGTGACGGTCACACGGAAGTTATGTGTGCTTATAAAGTGGTCTTAATAGCAATTACCTATACAGTATCGTACATTATGTATACCGTATTTGTATTTACCGTTGTATGTGTCTATGTGTAGGATGCACATTAAGTATGTGTGTATGTATACGACGTCTATTCGTTATTGGTTATTAGCCTATTAAAGTGTCACACATTACATAAAGTTATCCAGGGGTTCGAAGACTTTTGCAGGACAAACTAACATCTTTAATTATAGACTTAGAAAAGGTCAAAGTACGTCCTCAATGCACGTATTGTGTGACACTCTTACTTCACCGCCCTGTGACTTGTTATTGTTTGTTTTGTGTTTTCCATTGTTCTGTATTTTCCCCTTTGTACATGTAACCAGAACAAAACATTGTTTCATTTGTATATGCATACGTTTTCCTTTCCATTTCTAAATGACAAACCCTGGTTATGTATTGTAGAAACGTAATTCAAAGACTTATGATCTGAATACTTGTACTTTTATTTAAGTAACATTTTGAATGCAGGACTTTTACTTGTAACAGTAACAGAGTATTCCTAGACTCTTGATACTTTTACTTTTACTCAAGTACAAGATCTGAGTACTTTCCACCTATGTGATTATTGTTCCGTCATTTATTTGGCAGCTTCATCCCTTCAGTCCATCACACCAACTTTACCTTCATAGTGTGTACTTTTACTTACTATTATTACTCTGTGTGATTGTGAATATCCCTCTGTGATGAAAGAAAGCCTCCACCATGCATCTCTTTTGAAATCTATGTTTTATTACAAAAACAATATACCTTCATCTCAATGGCTGTTGGCAAGTCACCAATAAATCCCTTTTGTCTCATAGAAATGAAATGTCTTAATTTGATCACCATATATTTAATAAAAATAAACATTATTAGAGGTGACTGACAACAACAATGGTAAGATGTGACTTATCTTAATCAAAATATATCAGCTATTTATAATTATTATTTGTTGTTCACATTTTAGAACACAGCGATGAGAACAAAAGTGAGTGACTTTGTGAGTGTGCGGGAGGGGGTGAACACACAGCAGACCGACAGACTGGATGATGTTCAGAATAATAAAGTAGCTTCACATGGCTACAGAAAAATGATCAGCTGATTAAAGAAATAACAGTCACATGTCTCCATATAACACATGTCAGCAGTAGGATTCACATTGAAGTGATCATGGAAATGCTGCAACAGAAAGGAGTGCATGAGGCAGTGCAGAATACAGGCTGCATGTGGCCTCTATGTGAGGCTGTGTGGATCAGTGGTGATGCTCCCATCATTCACCAGGAGCACATTTCTCCTCTCCACACTCTGCTGGGCCGACAGTCATGTAGCTTCCATGTCTGTTTGGACTCTGAGGAGCGTCCTTCTGCTGCGCTTACTTCAGTGTCCACGGTCCGACTCCTCAGTCCTTTTCGCTCTGCTTCACCTCCCTGCTGTGATTTGTTGCAACGGTATACATTGCTTTATTGTGACCCTTCCTCCCCTCTGACTACTGCTTGTTGCTGTTTGGTTTTTGGTATAGAAAGTGAGAACATTGCAGGTTGACATTATTTTGGTTGAAGTCTCTTCAGTGGGCCAACAGGAAGGGGAGAAGTTTATGCAGGAACAGAAGAGAGATGCAGAAGAGGGGGTCCATGGAGCTCATCAGATGGCAGCCTGGATGAAAGAGAGAGAAATAAGAATATTACAAATTACACTAAATGACACTGTTCTGAATATCACACTGAACATCACTAATAATGTTTCTTAAGAGCCATGCTAGCACCTTGCTGTAGCATCATCATGCTAACATTCTGTGTTGTTATGGAGGTGTAATGTTTCCCAGGGTAATCCTCCTATGCTACGACTACAATCGGATACAGGCTCAGTGCATGGACCGTGTAGTGGTGTCTCAAACCCGCAGTGCTGCCTTTTAACGATAACCACTGATAGCAAGCTAGCTAGAAATGATCGCTGCCACTACCAAATAATTACAGACTGCTAAAGAAAAAACATGATGTAACGATTGGTGGCTTATTTTCAAGACCAGTTTTGTGGTACTTATTTAAAGAAGACCTATCATGCTATATTTAAATTATATAGTGTATGACCATACCTATATAAGGTATATTTATACATTTTAGGAGACCCCGCGAGACCCACCCACACTAACGTTCGGACCAGCCGAGACAGGACGGACGGCGACGCGAGAACCGGAGATAGGTTGTGTTGACAAAGGGGCGGAAAAGTCTCTGAATAACGACCCAGTTTGAGATTCATATGTTTGACATTGGTGTAACGTAATAACGATTAATCCGGTTTTATACCTTGCCTTATTCTGTTCTAGCATTGTTTGTCTCATTTTATTTTATTCCCTGTTGTCGAACAGTTACAGTTGATTGGCGTAAGGTCTTTGCAGGACCGACGTTGTCTCTCAAACGTGGAGGTGGTTTTGGAGACGACGAAGTCCAGTCAAAGAGCCTAGTTTAACTATTATACGAAACTTGTGTACGTACGAGACTCTACTGTACAAATAAAGGTGTGAGCAGTTTAGTGTCGTTTGTACCATTGCCTGAGAGGCGCTGCCGAGGTACGGAGGGAGAAGACGTGCCCCCCGCACCAGTCGACGACGAGTCTTAAAAGTTGTTCTGTCCGACCTTATCTCGCTTTTCTCGCTCTTTGCTCCATAACCGATTTTTTCTAGACAAACCTTAAANGCAGCATTGGATCAGTTCAGTTGTGCAGCATTGGATCAAAACAAAATAAAGCTTATCAGTACTCGTTAGCTTACTGCTACAATTAGACACTGCGCCCTGCCCACTCTGTTGCCAGATTTGAGAGAAATAGGTCTATGAAAACAAGCCCCAAGGAAGCAACACATACATGATGTTGTGTCATTTGAAACCAAAACTAAGGCCTCAGGATGACTTTAAGACTTGAACATGGGCATTTTTGTTTTGTAACATTGAAAAAATAAATAAATAAAGTATTTAAAAAAAATAAAAAATCCCGATCCCTGATTTTTTTCTCCCGATTCCGATCTTTTGAAAATCACGTGATCGGCTCCGATCCCCGATCACGTGATCGGATCGGGACATCTCTACCCACAATGCAACACCATCACTACACAGGATGTGCTTTTGAACATGTTGTATTTTGCACATAGAGACACATTTCTTCTTATTGCTACTGCACAACAACCTGTGTCTTATTTTTGTTGATTCCATCATGATACACTTTTGTTTACTGAGTGGTATAAACTGAGATGTCTGGCAGCTCCACTGGTAAACAAAGTCCTTTGGGGTAAACACAACAAGCAGACGGCTTCTAAAGAAGTCTTAGTTTAGCCATAAAACTAAAGTATATACCAAACCAGTTAATGCTACACTGCAGGTCTGTGTAACGGCAACGTTTGTCTGCAGCCGGCCATTCAGAGATATTCAGAGCGTCAGATTTGCACCTTTTACTAGACACATTTTAAGATGTATTGTGCATCCGTAGTTTGTATAAAACATCACGTATTATTGAGTTTTTAGTAAAGAGTGGATTTGAAATGGCTATATAGACAATAGTACACATTTTCTCTCATTGACTCCCCCCCCCTTCACCTAATGGAGCTCCACGTAGAGAGTAGAAAATGTCCAAACTTAAGAAGTGCAGTGTTTAAAGCAGACAGTTATTAGTGTCTAATGACTTATTGAGATGAAGGTATGTGCATGGATGGCTGACGGTGACTTTTATTTTACGAGTCATTGAGATTATGATTAAATCACCCAATTAGTGTCTGTGTTTTGATGAACAGCACATGTTCATTTTATGTCAGCAGCTTGACTCTAGGGTCAGGTGAAATACATTTGTATATATCATATGTGTTAAAACATACCGTATGAGATATCAAATCAAACACTGGGTTGATTGTGCATGTGAAGCAGAACCGTTGGAGTGCGTTATCACAGCATACAGGATATGAAAATGTGTTTAAATGTCTGCTCACTGCTCTTCTCTCCCCTGTCTCCTCTCAGCTGTGTTACCTCCATGCTGACCTCTTCAAAAGCCTCAGTGCCAAAGAAACCAAGAAGCAGTTTGTGGAGTTCTACAACACCTTCTTGGACAAAGGGGCAGTAAGTAGCACTGAGTTAAAGAGACCCTATTGTGCTCATGTTCAGGTTCATATGTGTATTTAGTGCCTCGTCTACCGTGACATGTCTCCGTGCTTTAATGTTCAAAAAGCTCTTTTTCTCATACTGCCTGTGCTGCAGCACCTCTTTTCACCCTCCGTCTGAAACCAGAGCCCAGTCTGCTCTGATTGGTTAGCTGGCCGGCTCTGTTGTGATTGGTCCCCTTCTCAGATGACAACGTGTTGGAGCGCTGGCCATTTGAAGTGCGAGTGTTACATGTGTGGGGGAGAGGAACCCCCTCTGACAATATGCATTGATCAGTTTTTCTGTAAGGAAGCACAGTTCGTCTGATGACCTTGAGA